TTGGTGTCCACAGTCTAACGCAGTACTCCGCCTTTTCACCAAGATCTGTTCAACGCCCCGTCCATCACATTTATGCTAGTACCGTTGACGTACCGACTCGGCTAACATAACGTGCACAGGTTGATGTAGTCCAGCTCACCCCGGTTTTCTGCCAGCGCTTCAAAACATTCAGTTGTAGCGAGTGACCACGCGGCCATTGAGAGGCTGCACCGGGCGAGCGTTGTCACCGTCGTCAGTGATGTGGTACTCAACCAAGTCCTGGTGAAGACGGCCAAAGTCGATCGAAGAGATCTTGACCGGGTTTTGCACCACCCACCAGTCAGCAATCTCGTAGCAACCCGGGGTCGTGAGACTGCCTGCGTAGTTGTAGATGCCACCTACCGATGCAGCCTTCCGCACCATCGTCGAATAAGATTTCCTGTGCATTAGAGTGAAAATACCATTAGAACAACGCTATTGACACCCCCCCCCCGCGTCTCATTGTGTTACGTACAGATTCACCACGATTGCCTTGGAATGAGTGGTGGAATTAACCAGCTCCAGAGCATTCAAGACAGGGCCCAACCAACTGTCCGATTTCGGACCAATCTGGATAAAGATACCCACCACCAGTAGTGCCTTGCCGTCATCGGACACATGCACCAAGTGGATTTCGCCGTCCATGTGTTTGTTGTCCAAGGTGTGCTCCGATGGAGCGTGCAGGTGAAACTGCGCCAGCTTGAAATTCTTGTTGTTCAACGAAACAGCACAGTTGCCTGCACACAAATTCAATCACATAATAATTGAGCACAATGGCCCGAACACAAGTGCATCATCATGAGTAAAAGAAAAAAAGCAGCTGTCGCACCTCCCGCAACGTCCACCCCAAGCGGTGCGTGGGGCTCAGTCAGATTGAACCGGCCACAGCGTCCACTAAATTTAAGCGGAAGCTTCTCATAATTACAAGACGTGGTAGTCGTGACGATGTTGATGGGAGACTGATGGACACCGCCGCATGCCGCCCAGTTAGTGCTCCAATTGGAGGTATGCACCATACTGGTGTCACTAGCACGGTATCCCCAGGTAGGACCAGTGGCGACGTCGGCGGAAGCGGTGAAGGCACCAGTCATGATGACAGCGGAGATTGAAGCGATGAACTTCATGCTGTGAAATGTAGGTAAGTTCAGAGGCGAAAGAGAATTGAATGAGGTGTTGTGTCGAACGCAAGTTTGGAAATGGAGACTTGTAGAACATTCGACTGCAGTGCGGGGCGAGGCGAGGCGAGACGAACGAAGGTTGGATTCGGATGGCATGGAGCCGTCTGTCGATGAGACACGGGTGGGTCGCACAACAGTCAAACCATGATATTGTCCATATGTGTTGGCGTTGCCAGAGTACTGCGTTGTTTTTGCGTTCGATGATTGTTTGTAAGGAAGCAAACTACTGCAATGGAGCAAACTAGTCCGACTATTTGGTGTCATATGTTTGACATCCTGGGTATGTGTTCAACATAAGTCTGCAGAGAGATCACCACAAGAGAACCAAGCTTCCCGTACTTTCCAGACTGAAATCGCCACTACGCTCTGCACTGTATCCCGGTAATCGAGCAGCCCTTTGGCGTAATCTGTTCGATATTGTAGCTGTGGACGAACTTCGGGTTGCGCTCGCTACGTTAAATGAGAAAAAATGAAAACGCGCCGCAGCCCTTGGACTGTATCGACATAGACGAGTAAAGACTTTCCGAGAGAGGACTCATGAACAGCTGCTAAGACCTACTTATTGTGCAGCATTAACGACTGACCCAATTATACTCTCGTACTAATGTTATGGTGATGGTGCTGACAGGTAGCCTCTCATGTATTGGAAGTTGAGTTCGCACCACAAAGAGTTTATTTGCGTTTGCTCCAGAATTTACAAAACAACAAAGATTCGTCTCCTGTTCATTTACGCGGTGTGCTATCAATCTGAAGCGAGTGAAGATCGCCTTGCAAGACCGATGATTACTCAGTCACAAGCACTCGCCCATATAGATAGAAATGAGCGAGAATTAAGGACTGGACGATCGTAACACAATTACAAAAAAATGTTTTCTGTGATGCTTTTGTGCACCGAGATTTTGCTTTTTTTATTGCGGCCACTTTCTCGATTACGAGATGCATGTAATTACAACCGGAGCTTTACATTAGACAACTGGAATGAACGAAGCAATTACGCAGGAGTACCAGTTAAAGACAATCGACTCTTCTGGATTTAGAAGGATGTATTGGACTATGCCTTTGATGAATTGCTTCTACAGTAACAAAAGAACCCGGTATAGAACGCGATACATTCCCATGTGTTTTACATTCGCCCAAGGGTACCCACACGAAATCATTTACCACGGCAAATTTCTCAAATTTTTACACACCATCGATGTAACGGGTCACTAGTTACTAAAACTGCTTTAGTGCTAGTGCACGTACACAGAAAACGGTGTAGGTAGTGCCGTGTTCACTTCACACACACCTTCTGTGCAGAGAAAGGCTAGATAATGAGCGACGCGTTCAAAAGGAGTGGAAATTAAAATGTTATCAATATTGTTGAAGGTATGACACGGGAGTGACGAGAAGACCGGAAGAGACCGGAAGGAGCGAAGAGGCTTGAGGAGCGGAGCAGAGAAGACTTGCTCGGCAGAAAGAGAATTCAAAAGTGATTGATTATCGGGGCTTACTACTTACTTCATGGTTTACATGTGGTGCACATATAAATCATGTGAAGCGTCTCATCATCCTACGCGTCTAATCAACTATGGTAATTACCGTAAGAACTACGTCGTAAATACTAAGCTGAACAGGCCGTTCGGATTGGACCGGTCACGGTTACCAATACTGGTAGGAAACCGATGACCGTCAACAAATATAATGAAGTCTTTGTTATTAACCTACGTTTAGTCTTAACAAATTCATTTTTGTCTACAAGTGTACGCCAATGTCTTGCTCGCCACTAATTGTGGGCGTCGGTCGTTGATTGGACCGCTAGAGCTGGCTGATATGATGGCCTATATCAGCCAATTGGTGTTTTTTTTTTAGTTTTAACCCTTATGGAAATATCTTAGACCATTATCAACCTTAATGATAGTTTTCTTATAAACAAGTATCTAGGTTAATTACATGCAACAGAGTAACCCCGTTACAATCGATGGATCACACTTTAACTATACTTTGACAAGGCAGCATGCATTATTTGTACAAGTTCAGTCGTGTTTGTTACCAAGTGTCGCCGAATAATAGTACTTTCATTTGTGTACTTGTAGGCGTGAAATTCATCTACGATTTGTGGGACTTCTATATGCCTACAGCATTTCCGCTTTTAAATCCGCTGGCACAGTGCAGCTGGAGGCATAAAAGATGGATCAGTGGTCAGAATCACTATTTACGAACTAAAGTACGTTTTGCCGGGACGACAACGCGTGGTTCTAGAACGCCGCCAGAATTGACGACGCTTCCTGTGAGACCGTCTTGATGGAGTGAATGTTGTGATAACACTTTAAGTACAATGTGACGCTCCACAGATATTGATTGTGCACCAATGTGTATTTTGTTTTCTAGAATGCTTCTGTACAGGATTTATTTCGAGTCGTATAATGTTTATCGCTATAGATTCACCGCAGTAACCTCTTGTAGTATAAAAGAGAAAGATGCCAACTTATCTCATTGTCATGAGTCCAATGCACCTGAATGTCAATAATGCAATTGTCAACAAATAGTATACACTGCAGTAGAAAGGCAAAGATGCTTTTCATACATTGGTAAAAATTTTGGCACTTAGCTGGTATGCATCGCTAGATGGAACCTGGATGTCAAAGACGGATGCAACATAGTAACCTTAAGTAAATCTGGAACTTAAATGAAAGTAAGAAGTATTTAGTCGGCAATTTACACCGTCATCTTTACTAATTTCAATCATTGTTCCATACACGAAATGGCGACTACTAAAACCCCAGTACATTGAGTATAAAATAGTGTTTATGGCACCTTCGTGAACACTATAAATGAGCCCTTTATGAGCACCATAAATCTGTCGAGACCGAAAAACCGTCTCGACGATATTGTTTTTATAAATATTTTTTGCATCTTGGAACAAATTACATACAAGGGTGCACACACACCACCGTCCAACCATCAACAATTCGACCAGATCTTAAGATGGTCGGACGACGAGGCAAGAATTTCTCAAAAGTCGAACTGGACTGCAAGTGAACCCCTCTGGAGAACACATCCCGCGCGGAAAGCAGAATCGAGAAGAGGTTGCTAGTACTTTTTAGCTCTCTTGATTGCACAGAAGCAGACCTATTCTTCTGTTCGTCTGCTGTTCTCCATAGAAAATGGCTGAATTCTTGTATATTCGCACGTGCAATCTCCAGTGCCGCTACTGCTATGCGTACATTCCTTAATGTTGATAAGATAGGGAAACCAAAGAGCTCGCGTCAGGTTTTGATGCCTGATTCGGTCGCATACATGTGAAGGACAAGAGGGAGCACCATTTGTTTGTCTGAAAGATGGGTAGGTCGTCCTGGAAGACCAGTGTAGCAGGGTATCCCGCTACATGATATTGACACCAAACGGTGTCAATAGGGAAATAGTCTGGCATGACAATATCCTACCAATATTGCCAAAAAATAGATAATATTAAAAAAAAGGTACAATTAAATGAACGTGCTGCGCGAAAAGTGGTTGATAAAGACATTTCAACCAAGGTTACCACCAATCGCTGCTGGACGCGCGTAATGACTGGTGAGCAGGTTGTCGTCATGCGACGACGTAGTTTAACACAGCTAGACAAAGAGTAAAGTTTTATTGTAAGCTTAACTACATTAAATTCAGTACTCTTTTTACCTTTACTTGACCGAGTCGTTCAAGTATACTAGCTTCCTCTGCACGTACTCGTTTACGTGAAGTTTCGGGGCACCCAAACAAAGGGTGCCCCGGTACACCTGGTATCACTCCGTAGTCCGTCCAACGACTACTTAGTGTCCGTCCAACATGAACATGAAGGCCGTAGAAGACGACAGCTTTCACGTCACAAGTGAAGGCTACTCCCATCTGAGTGACTCAGAATGGGAGGTAGTCGGACGTATGAGTGTGCTCTTGGGCGACCCCGCCATCAGTGGTATGTTGGAGTCACTAAGCAGAGACCAGCAACATGCTGCTATCAACAAGTTCATTCAAGGGGAACTTGCCGTCGAACTACAGAAGATAGCCTTGCTACAGCAGCAAGGCTCTTATCAGTCGATGGGAGGGCCGACGCACATGCGTCGACCCGAAACCTCGAAGATTGATTTCTCAAGGTACTAGGGAATTGATGAAGATTCCCTTTCGAGATGGTTCGTCGAGTTAGACGATGCCATCAGGGCCCGTCACATCGAGGGTGACGAGATGCAAGTCACCTTCGCCCTGTCAAATTTGGCGGGACGAGCAAAGACTTGGACCTTAGGGCTCAAGCTTCACGACCCAAACGTGTTTGAGATGTTGGAGATCTTGAATTCTCGGCTTAAAGAGAAGTTTGAGCCGCCGAGAGCCGAGTTCAGAGCACGCTCTGCACTCCTGAGGCTCAAGCAAGGTATTCGTGATGTGCACGCTTACGCACAGCACCTGAGCTACCTTGCGAGTAGAGTTACAAAAAAACCCTGCTGATGAACACACGCTCATCAGCGTGTTCATCTACGGCCTTGTGGATGGGCCGGTGAAGACCTACATGTTCCAAGAGGACTTCCATACGCTGGAAAGGGCGATAGCGTATGCGGAACAAGAAGACTTCAGCCTGAGACAGTCTCAAGCTAACTCGTTAAACTATCGGCCGAAGAGACGACAGGAAACAGGAGGTCCCGAACCAATGGACCTCTGTTACACCGAGAGAGAGAGCTCTCGCTCTCTGAGTCACAAGCGAACGGCAAGATGCCATAGCTGTCAGAAGATTGGACACTAAGCTCATGAGTGTAGTGTCCCAAGCACCGCATCACGTCCAAAAAAAGGACGTGATGACGACCGTTGCCCAAGGAAAGGTCCAAGGCATGAGTCCGACCATGTCGATAAGTCGCGACATCAAGTCGGACCGTCAAAAAAAACGGACAGGATCAGTAGGGGCGGAGCACCCTGCTGATCCAGCAACGTCAAGAGAATTCGCAGGACTCTTGACGAAGATTGCTCCCAACATGCATTCGCTGTGTGTTACTGCCCCTAGTGTGAGGAGTCCCTCATAACTTTGAAGATCGAAGTGACAAGTGGAATGTCACTTCGCGCCCTATTTGACTATGGGGCGTCGAACAGTTTTGTTCGACGCCAGTCGCTAGGGGGTAGTAGGCTCAACTATGTTGAGCGAGAGTTCCCTCCAACGAGGATGACGGTGTGCCTTGCTACAGGTGCATCCGAAACAGTGAACAAACGTGTAGTGAGAATCCACTAAACGCTAAAAGGAAAGCAGTACGATGATGACTTTAACGTACTGGATTTGGATGAAAAATTCGATGACATCCTCGGTCAGCCATGGCTTTAAAAATAACAGCCATGGGTTAGCTAGCAGCATCGATCCGTGAAGATGCATGCCCTTTTTTATCGGATGGTCATCTGATGAACGTCTAGGAGCGTTCACAAGCGTGTGGATGTACTACGAGTGAGTACGATGGCATCACTTGTGGTACGGTCTCTAGTATGACTGCACAAGATCACAGTAAGAAGGCCGCTACACTGTGGAACCAGCTTCCGGAACCTGTGTAGATACACAGGCTGCGCCGAAGGTTCACCACTCAAAGAGATCGAGTGGACTGGAACATGGATGCACACCAAGCAGGGTGCATCCAAGAAGATAGTTGAGTGTCGTTCAGGATGAGCAACACGTTAAAGCGAGATTGAGAAGAGAGAGTAGTGTTGTTCAGGATGAACAACACGTTGAAGTGAGATCGGCTATCAGAGAGTCGATTGTAGAGCAAGCTCGATCGACAGAAAGAGAGTCGATCGAAGAGGACGGGACTGTGGTAGTGCATCCACATTCAGAACACGCATTGGAAGAAAGTTTCAGCGTTCCTGAGAGTCACAACTCCCGAGAGAGTTATGTTGAGGGTGTGGATCCCCAACCACCTGCGGATGTGTGTTCCCAGGAAATCATCGAGACAGTGAATGGCTTGGTGCATGACGGATCAAGTGTAGGCGCTTGTACACTTGATCTGGTTACACCCTCGAAGTCAGCTTCGGAGGTAATCAAGTTGCCAACGCTAGAATCTAAAAGATTCTGGCGAGATCTGCACTGTGACAAGATCAAGCACATCTGTGTACTCGTCTCAGAGTACGAGTACGTCGCCGACATTCGTTCGGCATAAGTGTCTGCTGAGAACGAACGGGATCTCAGTAGTTCATCGATGAAAGAGAGTGTTCTCTGTGAGAAAACCCGAATTGAGCGATACACGTCTCAATCTTGGGAGTCTTTGAAGACAAATCCTTTGTACAAGGATTTGGTTGAATTCAGGGATGCTTTCTCTGAATCCGTGCCATGCGATCTGCCCAAGGACAAAGGCACTCGGCATGAGATCGAGCTGAAACCTGGTTCGAAATGCTGTATCGTGAAGTAGTGGCCACTGCCTCGTGAACAGGTAACAGCGATCGACAAATTCTTTGCCGATCGTTTATCTGCGGGTCATGTGAAGGATTCAACAGCCCCACACAGCTCTCCGACCTTCTGTGTGCGAAAGGCCACAGGAGGGTGGAGGATAGTGCACGCGATCAACAAACTGAACGCTGCAACGGTACCGGCTCAGACGCCGATGCCAAGGAAGGACGTCATCATTGATGGTATGTCAAAGAGTACCATCTTTTCGTTCATGGATCCGATGGATGGATTCTATCAGATCCTCACGCATAGACGGGACATCCCGTACACATGAGAGAGCACCCCCAGTAGTATGCACTGGGAGTGGCTAGTGATGCCACAGGGGCAAAGTAACGCCACCGCAACATTCAACAAATGTGTATCACATCTGTTGCGATCGGTGCGCGATTTGCACCGAGTTACTTTGACGATGTCTTCGTCCATAGCCGGGCTATGGATAGAAAATCGGACGTGGACGCTCATAGAATCCACGTCCAGAAGGTTCCTACAGTAATGCGAGAGCATAAGTTGTTCGCGAACCTCAAGAAGTGTATCTTCGCAGCGAACGAAATACCACTTCTTGGCTGCATCGCAGGTAAAAACGGTGTACGCCCTGATCCGGAAAAGATCAAGGCGAATACCGACTGGCCTGTGCAAGTCGACGCCAAGGTAATTCGAAAGTTCCTTGGCTTGACAGCGTATTTGCACAAATGCTCGCGCCACTATGCCGAGATGACAGTACATCTCTCTCTTCTGTTAAAGAAAAACGAGAGGTGGTCATGGAGCGCTGATTGTCAGCACGCTTTTGAAGGTATCAAGAAAAGCTTGATACAATCGCCTGTGTTGGCGATTGCAGACCAGGAAAGACCATTCAATGTGGTCTGTGACGCCAGCGATTTCGGGATCGGCTGCGCGTTGATGCAGTACGACTCACGAGGCGTTGAGCGCGTCGTCTATTATAAATCGCGTCTGCTGCAAGCAGCTGAGTGTAACTACCCGGTGCATGACAAGGAACTCCATGCCATGAAATGTGCACTGGCCAAGTTTCGGGTATATCTCTCAGGAAATAGGTCCTTAACGGTTATACCGACCACGGCTGTAAACAGTCCACACCTCTCGCAACGAATGGCGAGGTGGCTGTCTTTCTTCTTGGTGTACAACCTTTCCGTCGAGTATAAACCAGGAATACTCAATGACGTCGCTGATGCTCTTTCGCGTCGGCCCTTCGACGAAGTGCGGAAGTCATACGCAGAAGATAAGTCTCTTTTGCGATTGTGGATTACGTGTCCAATCCATGCACTCAAGCTTTGAAAAGCTTGACGTCATAATACCGCTCTTCAACCTAACGGTATTCTGTTCGTGATGGACTGCTGTACAATATAGCAGTCACCGGCGACACACCTCGTGTCGTCGTTCCGGCTCATAATGATTTGCGATTGCGCATCACGTATGAGTGTCACGATGCCTCAACAAGTGGGTATCGCGGTAGAGAAAAGCCTTACCTCATGGCAAGTCGTGACTTCTACTGGCCCCGCCAGTATGAGTTTGTGCGCAAATACATTCGCTCTTGCAAAGTTTGCCAACGGGTGAAGCCTGGTCCCTCATTCCGTGCCCCCTTTCAGCCTCTACCGATTCCGGCAGAGTGTTGGCAGTCCGTATCGATGGACTTCGTCTTTGGGAAACTCAAAGACGCTTACAAGAATACTGCCATTACTGTGTTCGTTAATCGGTTCAGCAAGATGGTACATCTTGTTGCTGTACCAGAGTCAATCAAAGCCCAGGGCTGTGCTCGTGTCTTCAACGATACTATCTTCCGACTTCACGGGTACCCTGTGAACTCGTGTCTGATAGGGACTTTCTCGCTTCACAGCGGAGTTCTGGCAGTCCGTGTTCCGTTCACTTGGAACACGTTTGACGATGTCGACTTCTGACCATCCAGAAACAGATGGTCAGACGGAACGCGTCAACCGCGTCCTAGAAGAGATACTTCGAAGGTATGTCCACTCGTTTACGAGCTGGAGTGAGTTCTTGCCGATGGCGGAATTCGCCATGAACAAATCGGTGCACGCGTAGACAACGCATACACCGTTCTTCGTGAATGGCCTACGCCATCCATGTTTACCCGCCTTCTTATAGTGTGACTCTAGCTTAACGAGGGGGTGGACTCGCTCGAACAAAAACCGATCTGGTTCTTGCTCATCACCTATCTACAATGGTGTCGACGTCATGGATGCCGATGGCGATGCGATAGACATCGATTATATTTATGACAACGATGCTGGCATATTCAGCATCGCCCATGACCGCCAAAGTGAGGATGATGACGCCCTCACTGGTGAAGACAACGTTCGTTCAGCAGTGCACACGATGCGCACTGCTGTTGAAAAGGATGAATCAGCAGAGGGATTTCTGCTGACTCGCGAAGCGGTTGTCCACTTCGTTCAAGACTCTAATGCAGATGCACTAGACAGACAGAAGAGAAACGCAGTCAAACATGGATGAGCAAATGTTCTTTCATTTGATGTAGGAGACCTAGTTTTACTGTCTACAGTAAACTTACCGAAACGCGCAGTGACAAACGTGGGCAGCAGTAAATTACTGCCCAGGTACATCGGTCCATTTCGTGTGTTGCGCCGAATGGGCAACGCATACACGATTGACCTGCCCCGTAAGATGCGTACGCATCCTACGTTTTACGTCGGTCGTCTCCGCCCATACTATCAGTACGGGCCGGTTTCGAGATGCGAAGAACACCTCCGCGTTCGAGAGCCGAGACCACCTTCGATTGATCCCGTTTCAACGAGCCAGTCTGGTCGACTAGTGAAGCGACCTGTTCACGCATTTGAGCGATGTCTCGACGAGCTAAAGCCAGCTCGTCACGAAGAGAACGAATCGAACGTTCGTTCTCAAGCTGCGCGAACGCAAAAGCGGCACAATCGTCCGAACGATCGTGCGTTAGGAAATTTTAATCATCCCTTACAAGATCCTCAAGCTCATAACACCAAGTCCGTTCGTGAGCCAGGTCATCTTGCAACTGTTCCGTCACACGGTTCAGCTTTTGAACATCAAGCGGATCGGGCCCTCGAGCCGGATCAGGTATTCCCGTCGCCACCACATCCTTTAGTGGACTCAAGCGGTGGTCAACGCTTTTTAATGGAGCGTATCGTGAACCAACGCGATGTGAATGGCGTCCGGATGAGTTACCTCTTCCGCAGGCGTGGCTATCCACCGGCGTGGGACAGCTGGGAGCCTCGTGCCCAGCTGATTGTTGATGTCCATGGTCTCGTCGAGCACTCCGACGAGACCCACCCGCTGCGTTTGAAGAAGTGCCGTCGGAAAACGACCTCCCCGAACGCGAGTACAGAGATTGCAAAGTTTCAATCCCTTCGGCCATCTCGGAAGAGATGCGCGCCCTCCATTAGGGATCACTAGGGAGCTAGGCCTCCCTAGGGGCACGGTTCGAGTTGTCCAGGCAACCTGAACACGAATCACCCCACGAGAGACAGGGTAACCCTGCCTTTCTTGACCGTCGGTGCAACTTGTATCGCGCCCCGACGGGGTTGCGTTTTTCAAACCTGATGCGAGCTGCATCAAGTTTACCGATCCAGGCCTCACAACCAATACACTTGATGGTATGGATGAGAGCATTCCATCCTTGCACCAAGGCTTTGCCGTCTCGAACACGGCTGCCATCGTACCACTGATGCTTGAAAAACACATCGGTGAAGAGCTCTTCCTCAGCATGGATAGTTTCCGTGCTGGAATTAGGACGAAAGATCTTCCTACAATCGAACCACGAAATTCGATCCCATTCGGTAGTCATGCCGGCCAACCGGTCCAACTCTTTGGATGACGGCATCCAAGGAGAATCCACTTGAGGAACGTGGCGCAGGACATTTCAGTCCCTTGCCTCTTGATTGGTGTCACCACGAGCACAGACGCCAGTGACAGCTCGATGCCTCAACTTAATTCGTTTGTGGTGATGTATAGGTACATCACCACCATCACCACGCGACCTATCGTCGGATGGACTTGCGTGAGGCGAGGATTCGTCGCAAGAATCGTTCAGTCCGAAGGTATCGAGCACGATGCCGCCAGTTGACCAGAACCAGTTAACCTAGCTTTTGCAGTGTCCTCCCCGGGTGATCCGGAGGCGTGAGGTGTCGCTTTCGAGTCAAACACATCATCCGAATTGCCAGAATAGATGAGCCCTATTTCAGACTCATCTATATTACGTTTCGTGGTACCCGCTGCAGACGCAGCGGATGTACCTGTCGCACGTGGTGACTCACCACGTGGACTGTCCATTCAACAGCAGACAAATCACCTGCTACTAAGAGGTGAGACGTGCTCTCTCTGGCTGCACGCATACGTGCAGCTGCCTTTCTTTCTGCTGCAGTAGCAACTCGCTTGTGTTTTGAAACCATGCGTTGGATTGGCAAATGAATGGAATTTGACCAACAAGTGCTCCCTTTCCTAGAGTGATACAACGGTGGTCACCCTTTCCCAATCAATTCTAATTTAATCAGCGGGAGATTAATGGACAAGGGGGGAATAAAGTAAGGGGGTAGCCCGTCACATAAAATTGACACCAATCGGTGTCATAAGAAATATTGTCTAGCATGAAAATATTGTGGTGGGGTGGCGATCGCTTATTTTGTGAGTCGATCCCAACTCTCCACTGGCGCCCGGACGACCGACTAACGGAGGGGGTACTCTGATTCCGTGTGTGTTGCCTTCCTCACCTTGTGTACCCGTCGATTGGGCGGGTTGCACTCTTACAGGTGGACTCGTATCGAAGGAAAACTTGACCGTGTTGGGGATAGGGTTGTGATCGTGCGGAAATCTTTTCACGCAATCACGGGGTACTTGTGGGTACTGATGTAAGTTACCCTGATCTCAATGAAATCACCTTGTCCACTATGAGGTTGCTTGATCCGCGAGCCTTCTGACCACTTGAGCCGTCTCGCGATCTTGCGCCTTGCCTTTGCTTGTTTTGCTGCGTCCGATCGCAGTTGATGTTGCTTGAGAGTTCTTGAGCACACCTGGCCAAAACAATCCAGGTGTGATACTTGCGTAGACATGTAGCGCGACTCCTTATTCGACGGGGGACCAAATATCCTACCCGGAAGAGATAACGTGTGCCTTGTGAAGTAAATTGAACTTTATTTAATGTTAACCAACCAACCTAAACCCTACTCCTATGCCTATCCGAATATCCTGGCCAGATGCCACGCGTCGCCTTTCCAGGAAGATCGTCCCCTCGCATCTGTGTGTTCCACAACCAGTATAACAGCAGTTGCATCTTCTTGTGGCCCACCCAGGATATCCCCATGATCCTGCCAGCGGATCGTGACCCTACTAGCGAGTCGTGAATCTACTAGCGGATCGCAGCTGGAGATCGAACTTGCGATCCTGGGTTAGGATCGCGGTCTTCCAGTAAGATAGAAGATCTTGTCTTGCCATGTCTCATGACGGATTGCATAATTAAAACGGGTGTGCCACCCTATAGCCTCGTCCCAGGATGTATGATCCTGTCCACTTGGGGTTTGGATACGCTATTGCCAGCTACCCGCCCCGGCCTGGATCCACCAATCATAGCATTCTTGGCTTAACTGGAGCGTGCGATCCATGCGATCACCGATCCAAGTCCCAATAGAAATTTCCTTATGACCGCTTTGCCACAATATCCTACCAATAGCATCCGAGAAGGTCAATATCACAGGAATAATAACCCCTTTTAGGATAATATTCATGCGCTACTTAAAGATTGGTTAACAAATGACGTATCAACCATAGATTGCAACCAATCGCTGCTAGACGCGCGCAATGAGTGGTGAGCAGGTTGTCGTCATTCGACAATACATATTGATTTAGTTAGATAAAGACTAAAGTTACATTGATAGCTTAACTACATTAAATAAAGTTCTCTTTTAACCATTAGCTCGACTTAGTTGTTGAGTAGATAGCTTTCTCTGCACGTACTCGTGTACGCAAAGTTTCGCGGCACCCCAAACGAAGGGTGCCCCGTTACACTAGGTGTATTTGAGCAAGTCGTGAGACTACCACGTCGGCAATGGCTATTGATCAAGGGAATATCTGCAATGGCCTATGTGCTTAATTCGGTACTCTGGTAGGGGAATAGTTGCAACATCCGTGTTTCCCGTATCATACACTACATTGAGATTGTGCTGTCACTGCTATTCCGTGGTATAATCTAACTACTACTAGGGAATGAGTTGAACCCGTGACTGTGCACGATGATCTTTTTGTGCACGGTGGCATAAGGTCGAACATGTTCCCTCGACAAGACAGTACTATAACCGAGCTACACTTATTTCTTTGTCATAGAAATACTGATGGACTCGTAAATTATCTTAGTCTGTCAAACTAAAAAGTGCATTAGCTTAGAGGATCGCAAGCCTTTACATTTTTAGTGAGACTTAGCACCAAGTGTTTGTACAAGCTCGCAAGCTGCTAGTCCTGGTCAAGAATCTATCGACTCCAAGATTAACGTGGCAGTAATGCCCGAAAGAACTTAATTTTGACTCAGGCACTTAACTTTTGTGACTCGAGGAGTCTTAGAAAGACACGTGTCTGCAACTGATCAAAAGGGGAACTGAGTACATTAACTGATTTACGACGATGTTAAACCTTATTTACGTCTTCAGCCTTAAAACTATGCTACCTAATCGAATAGTCCCCATGGTAGTTCTTTTTTGTGTACCAAACCAGAACTACGTCACCTATATAAAGACCGTATTAAGATAGATATCCTCTACCCGCAACTGATTATCTACGGTGTTACCGCTTAGTGTATTGAGTACAAAAATACGCCTTATCAGTTTCATTAATTTCCTTATATGTTGATCACACGACACCATACCGGTTTTACCAAACGTTTGTATGATTTGGTGTACTTGCTCATGCTATCGATGATGAGTTATCATTTTCAAATGTCGCTCGAAGAATTGTCGGGAGGCAAGACTAGAAATTTTTGGCTGGTTGCTGCTAAAGATAGATCGCAAAAGAACTGACAGAACTACTGTAGGGGAAGATTCGCCGAAGCGTTGTAGCCCGACACGCATTCACTACTGTCCAATTACCGTCACCGTTAAATTAATTACAGTGGCTAGTGCTCAAGGCAATGGTCATACTGCTTATACTAGTCTGTCGTTGATGGATACGGCACACACAATTAAGAAAATCAGATCATGCCATTCCTACCGCAATTTTTGAGATGCTTTGTGTCGAACCTACGTTGTACGGCTTCCAGATGCTGTCCTGGTTGTGCAAGGGTGCGGTCTTGGACGTGACCATCAAGAACAGAATATTACACTCGAATATTCACTGATCTTGATGTGAAGTCGATCTACGTAGCAATTGATGTCTCCATCTATGACTTCATCAATCTCTTTATATCCCTCGGCGCGCTATATAAGGTGTTTAAATGCTTGTACATGCCAGTATTAGAGTGGCGTACCATTACAATTTGTCAAATGCGACATTTCCTTTGCACAGAAACAGTAGTTGTTGAGGTTATTACTGCACTTCGATTGAGCACTGATAATACATGTGAAAAACTGTTGACCGTAGCGGTCTTACGATCGTAGCACTTACTCAGCCGACGTTGTATGGTCCAGTAGTAAGCCAGCTATAAGCATCCAAGATAAGTCACGGTCGGGATCGTAGTGCTGCTTAGCTTACCACGTAATTTTTTCGTCTCCCATGCATCTGTTTCTACAGTAAGTAAGGCGCCGTGGATTGATTCAAGCAGTTTGACTGGGTGTGTACCTATAGTTTCCTGAACCAAACAGCTATAAACTTAAAGGATCTCTGACTTTTACAGACGTAATAAGAATATTCTCGATGCATCTAAGTAAGCTCATTAGCTTCTAGTCCTGGTTCAGGGGACTAGCGATTCACAGGAAGTACGCACTGATCCCCAGAAGTACTAGTCCTCATTTGGGCTCTTAACTCTTACTATCAAGACGTCTAATTAAGACATGTGTCTTTGTTTTATCAAAAGGGAAACTAAAATATTAACTGGTTTATTGCAATTACGAAGGGTGAATATCGTAGTGACTGCGCGCAAGATAAATGCCAAACCTTTCCAGATTGTATTTATCCTTGTGTGTGTGAATATTGCAGGTGTGTATTACGTGCCGTGGTAAGTGCGATGTAGCATGTCCCCTCTTCACAGGTATCACGCTTTGATCAGGTCACTAATTGCGACTGAAAATGTGTAATATTCACACGCGCATGTGATTAACCAGGAAACGATGAAGGGGTGTCAGAGGGCTAACAAGCAAATACTAGACACTCAGAGGGCAGCAAAACGCGTGCACCTTACGCAAACAGTTAGTGTGAAGTGGTTTGATTTGAATTACTTGAAGTAGTAAGATATAGTATCCAAGATTTTTTTATCGGTAGCAGTGGAAACTTCTTCCACTACAATTTTCGTTAACGTAAAAATTGAATATCGCAGACCGCATTTTGTTCTTTACGGCATCACCGTGCAGTACCATCCCCATTTTTTTAGTTTGAGCCCGGCGGAAGAAGCTGTCTGTGACTGTGCGCAAGCTGAATATCAAGCCTTTGAACTGTACTTATCTGTGTGTGCGCGCGTGTCTGTGCGTCTGTGAATAGTGCTAGGAGCACCATACGCGTAGTATTGAGTGCGATTTAGTCCATCACCTCCTGCGTTTGTGAATGACAATAGGCTACCTTACACGTTGTATTGAGTGCAATGTACATTTTCACCCATTGCACTCGTGAGTAACACTTGTTGTACCTTACACGTCGTACTAAGTGTGATGTAGCATTCATTTCTTCTACATCATTTATACGCATTATCGC